AAAGGGAGGCACTAGGGTCACTTGGGCATGCGATACATCGCAAATTTTCTGATTGGTCTCAAATCAAAATTGAAACAGACCACAAACCTTCTTGTGCCCCTTTTTGGACAAAAAGATTTGAATGAGCTCCCACCTAGAATACAGCGATTTCGAATTAGATTGATGAGATACCATTTTGATAGATTTCATGTACCAGGCAAAGATCTCATTGTACCAGATGTCTTATCCAGAGCTCCCTGTGCCATTAAACCAGATAAAGAAAGTAAACAATTGCGTAGAGAAGTTAAATCATATGCTTCTAATGTTGTAAGTCAACTTCCAGTCACATCCTCTTATTTATCAGCCATATCGCAAGAACAGCATAGTGATGCAGTGTGTTGTAAATTGATTGAGTTCTGTAAATATGGGTGGCCAGATAGACAATTGCTATCAGGCACTCTAAAAGCATACCCTGGTACTATCCATTTCGAGCAGAAATTAGTTATGTTGATAAAATCTTGATGAGAGGGTCTAGGATTATTATTCCTAGCTCAAAAAGATTAGATGTTTTAGATATGTTACATGAAGGTCACCAGGGGATTGTTAAATGTAGAGAGCGGGCCAAGTGTTCTGTATGGTGGCCAGGTCTTAGTGGTCAAATTGCCGATTTAGTATATAAATGCAAAACTTGCATACATCACAGCCCAGACGTGATAGAACCCATGATTCCCTCAGACTTCCCTGAACGGCCATGGCAGAAAGTGGCTGCAGATTTGTATTTCTTAAAGAACACCACATATCTCCTGGTTGTGGATTATTACTCAAGATTTGTAGAAGTTGCTAAATTAGAGGACACATCAAAAAGTAGTGACATAATAGTTCATTTACAATCTATGTTTGCCCGACACGGGATACCAGTTCTCAAGTTGGGAATATAAAACCTTTGCTGAGAAATATGGGTTCATGATTGTGACCAGTAGTCCAATATATAGCCAGTCAAATGGAGAGATTGAACGGGCTGTCAGGACTGTTAAGCAGCTTATAAAAAAATCAGCGGATCCATACTTGGCATTAATGGCATACCGGGCAACCCCCATTAGCCAATGGATATAGTCCAGCTGAATTGCTATTTGCTCGTCGTATTCGGACGACAGTCCCAATTCTACCATCATAGTTAAAACCCAAACTGCTGGATATAGAAAATCTTAACAAGAGAACTATGATAGGTCACATCGCGTCAAGGAAATGCCTGAACTTAAACCAGGAGCAAAAGTTCTGGTTAAGGACATGCAGTCCCATGGCGAGGTTGTGCATAAATTGCGTGAACCTAGGTCTTATGAAGTAGCTATGCCCCACAGGGTGATTCGTAGAAATAAGAAGTATTTAGCTCCATGTGGTCATGAGGATGACCTCCCACCACAAATTGAGGTAAATGGAAAATCTGAAACCACAGTTCAGGGAACACCATTGACCATGGGGACTGAAAAGCAAAATGTGGTACACAGACCCCAGCCTGAATCATCTACTCTGCAAGAATCAAACTTTACTGAATATAGAACCAGATCAGGCAGAGTCATTAAACCTCCCAAGAGATTAGATTTGTAATTCTTTTGACTTGCAATTACTGTATTTCTTCAGATAGTTTCGATTTTTGCCAGCCTTATTGGCATTAATGTGTTGTATTTTTGAAGTTGTTCGCATTGTACTGAAATTGTACTTTATGGTGAGTTTGACTTGTAAGGGGGATGTTGTGTTAGCTATTTATAGCCTCGGGGTGCTTCGGGTTAACTCGGGGTACTTCGTGGAGATACGCAGACGACGTTGTAACATTTGTTAGTTACCGATAATAAATCTGGATATTCACCATTATCCTGGAAGTGATCTGAGTTATTTGATAACACTACAGACCGTACCATCAAATTTTGTCCGGCATTGTCGTTGTTGTCGTCGTTAATAATTGTTATTGTGTGCACAATAATTTTACTAATTCTATTCCAAACTTCATCAAACTTGGTCACCTTATTCATCAGTATAAAGTCTTCCCTGAGTTTGAACAACGGATGTCCTGTATGAAAATATCATGCACAAATTGAGAAAATCTGATAAAATATTTTGACTGTTTCTACTTGACTGATCACTGTATGTGTTCAATGAAGCAAATCATTTATCTTTTATCCTTGGTAATGTATCCCCCAAATCCCATGGGAATACTATACTGGGTTTCAAAACCAACTTAGGAGAGATTTTTTGCATAGTCTGATGCACATTTGCAAACCTACCAATAAAATCTTTACAGAAAACAAGATGTTAGAAAATCAATATAAGCACTCCTATGAACTGGGTGCCAAACAAGATCTGAAGCAAATAGAAAAATCTGTTTAGTCCAAAGTTATCAAATCAAAAACAATATATAAAAAATACATAAAAAGCAAAACGTTGCATCTACATTTTGAAAATAAAAATGTACTAAAATATATGTATTCTGTATTTGACAAACAGTTCATTCAACAACAAAAAAATTCACAGGAATTTGTTCCAGCTATTAGAACAGAATGATAGAGCTTTTATAATAGTAATTTAAAAACACACTTCAAAAACAAAGATTGCAGTGTTTGAAGATGTAGATTCTCAGGAGGCAACTGTACTGTTGACTTCTCTCTCCACTTGACACCAACTAACTATTTAAGGTAGAGATGCAGTTTATTTGACTTGCTTTTTAATTGAGTAATTAGACAATGAAGATGGTATTATATATCCAACATGTTATATATTTTCTGAAAGCTTATTATACAAACTTTGTAAAACTTGTCTTTATTTTAAATATCCAGAATGCGTTTTTGATTTTGGGTC